CAATTAGCACAGCGCATGTTGCGCGGCCTGCTGATCAGTCTAGTCACACAGCTAGGATGGTTATGCAATTAAAACAAGATTCCACCCCCCTCCCCCCCGCCTCCAATAAGGTCAAACCAACAAGCAGAGCTAGAATGAGTGGTGCAATGTTCGGTAGCTGAGACCAAATCAAGTCGTACACTGGACGTTGTGCTTTTCAGGAAACAGTCGTTGGCATGTGTGTGTGAAGACACTGCATTCTACTAAGTACATATAACATGGCTAGCTTGGCCAGTGCATCACGACGTCATCTTTATGTATATCGGCAAACACTACATGAATCACTACATGAAGCAGATGGCATTCAAAAAGGCAATTCGTACACTGTACAGTCCAAGGTACTCCGAATAATAGAGTCATTTTCTTAGTTCGGGATCAAGAAAATTATTCAGTCAGATTGCAGCGGCAAAAATCCTCAAATTCCAGTGAAAGGTGGTCAATGTGTTGGAGATACTATTTTCAAAATTTAAGCTTCTAATTTCAACCTACAGGATCGATGAAAGTGATGATGACACTTTCCCAAGTTCTGGATCAGTTAAACCAGACATGGATCATGGCAAAAACTTCAAGTATAAAAAACCAATGGGAAATCCATTTTTCTGCCAGAACCAACTTGATTTCTTTGAAGAATTTTTTTAATTCAGAGAAAATTAGTTCATATATCTGAATTCCAATTAATTAAACAATAGAACTTGCATAAATCCTAACTTGACTTTTTCAGCTGTACAGCGAGCTGTCAATGAAACTATCCCCTGCACTGCGCATAATTGAGTTTACAATATACATGTATTTGCATGCACTTCAAGCGTAATCCGAAACTAGGTGAAAATATGCATTCACTTTTTGGCCCATTTAAAAAAAAACCTCGAAAAATCATTTGGATTAAAAAGACATTAGTGACTGAATGGTGAGTGTGAAAGAGTATTTGGAACCACTTGGTCAATATTTGTCCATTTTTGGGGCTCCCATGATTTTCAACAAACCGTTGCAAAATGTCAAAGCGTGAATAAAAAATCTGGCCCAAAATGTCTTTTGCAGAAATTTTCTTAGAGCAAACTTTGTACAAGTAGCATACATTTCATCACCTTTCAAACAAAACTTATCTTGGAAGGATACATTAATACCCCAACATCACAGACAAGGTCAGGAAACCCCAAAATAGCTTGTGGATGGTCCAAAAACCGTTGTGACTGCGTGTTAATGAGATATTATTGAGAGTGGATGGCTTTTAAGGGAAGATTTGGTTGAGAGAGCCCAGTTTTAGACACAATAACCGGGCACATTCAGAATCTCATGGTATTTTAAAGCAATGAAAATTTGGAGCTGTGAGGCAAACAGAGTGTGTCTCACAGTTCTAGTGGCTGTGACCACATCAAAACTGAACACTGAACATTACGCTGCTCAGGAAAGAGTTGTCAGTGTGCATGTGCCAACACAGCATGCTTTCTGTGAATGACTGTGACCTCATCAACAGGATTTAGTTTAAATCGCTATTTGAGGAAAGATTGCGTCTTCGAGCTTCTCTTTTCATCTCATATGTGAGTAAATCATATATTATCATTATTAGGATCTCCGATTTGCACTTAATCCATAGATGGGCGCATACTTCCTGCACAGTAAGGCACTACTCCTAAGGCGTTACTGCACTCCACTCTTTGATGGTTCTCCTCACTATGGCATTTTGAAAGCTGCCCAGCAATTGTACCAGATAAAACATCCGTTTGCACTTGCTTTTATAAGCAAATCTTCCCCTAAAGACCCAATAATAATAGCTAACCTATATGAAACTACCAGGTTTGAGTGTTTTTTGTAGCGCTTAACCTATATTATTGGCAAAACATGAGGTTTTTTCCACCTTTCATCCCTCGATGACCTGCACATATCTGCATTCTCTGTGGTCGTACGTCACGTGACAAAAATAGGCACAGCGTATTCGTGTAATGAACAGAATGTTGCTTTGGATGACAGTCCCCATAATTTCGACTACTCCCACTTAGATTATGTATAGAGACGTCTGGGAAATCTGTCCTCAGAGAACCACACTAATCACATATTGGCTTGAACATTTTGCAATAGATAAATCCCTGAATTGCATGGAAAACGGACACTCTATTAGTCTCACAACTTCACAATGGTATCTTTGCAAAATATTTTCTTTGCAATATATTGTGCGCCTGTTTTTGTCACGTGGTATAACGGCCACAGAGAATGCAGATGTGTGCAGATCATTGAGAGATTGATTGATGACAGGTGAGGATGTCAGAAAAAAAACCTCATTTTTTGCCAATAATGTAGGTTAAATACCACAAAATATACTCCAACTCAGTCAGTGTTGGTAGTTCCATACATGTAGCCTTGTAGGTTACATGTGGTTATCATTATAGAATCTTCACGGGAAGATTTGCTTGAGCAAGCGCAAACGGATGTTATATCTGATATAATTTGCTGGGAAGCTTTCACAATGCCATAGCGTGTGGAACCATCAAAAAGGTGGAGTGCAGTAAGGCCTACGCTACAAAGTAGTGCCTTACTTCTGTTCAGGAAGTAACTACATTAGACATTTTAAATTTAAGAACATTTTAGAGGTGAATTCGGAGGATTTGTCTCGTGGTACAAACTACACGTATTTTGAGTAAAATGAATTGGAAGCAAAAGCCTATGGAAGGTACTTGGTCCCTGCTATCGCCCATATGTCCATATGTTTTTAAAAAGGCGATTTGTGAGGTCAAAGTCATTTGGACTAGTGACACTGTCACTCAGTGACAGGCAGGAGTCATGGTCATTGGAGTAGTCACTAGTACCAGTCGAAGATGGTACAACTTACAAATGACACGATGCAACTATTTCCAAATCATGTTCTTGGCCAACCTTTCCCTTTCAAGAATTTTCCTGGCTGACTATATACAAAACATATCACAAAATTACAGGCTGGGCTTTTTCAAAAGTTGATTTTAACAGGCGCATGCTTACCACTTCGAGTCACAGGATGCAAAGATACCCTGTTAATTGTTGGGCAACCGTGAGTCTTACACCTTGTGTTATCCTGAATCCGAATTAAACTTGTACGTGCTAAAATGAGCAGCACCAGACTGTTTATATTACATCTAAAGCTCACAGGAGGGCGCACTCTGCTAGGTGCAGAGCAATCTGACCCATTTGTACACTAAGATCTCGCCGAAAGTCTTGGCCAGGGAACCTTTTTATCTCTTTTGTGCCTTCGTCGTTTTTAATTAGCTATAAAAATCTCAGTTTGGCTTCCTCCGTTTGTGAGCTTGTAATGCAATACTGCTATAAAAATGTTTCCCTTTCCAAGGGTATTTTGCTTCATAAACTTAAAACAGCGGACCCAAAACTGGGGATCAGGGTGAAACTGGTAACAGACCAGTACATGTCTCATAATGCCTCTCCAAGTTACTTGACAACATTTTTTCCAAATCTAAATTGATATCTTTTACAGTGTCCAACACGAGCTTAGGAGTAATCACTCACTGACATGGCTGTACAAATAGCAGTGAATATGGTCTTCCTTTAGAATAAGCACATGTTGGTGTCTTGTTTAGATTTATCAAAGGCATCTGACAGTATAAATCATAACATTTTGTTGTGCTCCGATCTTAAAATTTTCAAACCGTTATAGTCGTTGTAAATTATTCTAAAAGCCTGGTTTTCTCGGAGGCAACAAAAAAATCAAACAAGATCACACTGGTTTAAAGAACAAAGAAACAATGGCGATTCATTAACGACATTAACTTAAGTAAGTGTAAGGTAAGTATAAGATCTTATATAGCATAAATAAGAACATCTTACGGTTGGGGAATCGGGCAGGCTCTGCAAAGGAGAACACTCAACCGTAGCGGAAACAGTTCCTTGATGTCCCCCCCCCCAGCTGGACGCGCGGAAAATTCACCTCCAACCGAACAGCTGGAAACATACGAAACAGCGAGTGACGTAAGCTGACTCCTCTCGCGAAAATATGAAAAATAGAGAACTGTAGGCCAAGACTCCATACACAAAAATATCTCTTTCGAAATTGGATTAAGCTTTCAATTGTTTCCTCGGTCAAGACAAACTTCCATCGATCGCTCCACAGACCAGTCACCAGCAGATCACGATAGTCCCATAGTCAAAAGAAGTTGAATACATCCAACTGTCAAGTTAAGATTAAAAACCAGCTTATATTGCAACTCTCATCACCTACCTAATTCCCCAGGTCTGTCTTGATGGATGTCGTTTTGGAAATATTTCACATTAAAGAAAAAGAAAATAAAATCCCCCCAAAAAGGTGTCTTAGATTGAAATGCATTCTTTTATAGAGCATTCTAGGTACTTTATACTATTTTTTAATCTTACCTCTTTTATTGTACAGTACTTTGGGCTTACACAATCAAATCTTGATTATTTTGATTAAACTGCAGAAAAGGCAATTTGGATTGTATTTAAAATTCACTTTAAAGATCACCCCTTCATTTCCGAAATGAAAAAAACAAAATGTCTTAACTTATAAATTTGTAAATGATTAACTTCCTGAATCACTGCATATAATCTTTTTTGGTTCACTAGACCCATGCATGATTATAACACTATGGGTCCTCATTAAAATTTCATCTACCTCAATATACAACAACTTTCTCAAATAGATCTTTGTCAAGAAACTGGAATCACCCTCCACCGCACCAAACTGCCATTTGAATAACACACTTGAATACAAACTGAAAACATTCCTACAAAATTCTCAGAACACTTAATTCATCACTATTTTCTGAGCTGACTTAGCCATTACCGATCTGTTATGCCCTCTTTTTTAACTATTTTTATATGTTGACCTGGTTTTCCCAGACAATTAAGGAAAAGGTGTATATGAATTGGTAATAGAAGCATTTCTTTTCGTGTCCTATGGAATGAACGTCCAAAATCCTCTGTTTCCATTTCATATTGTATTTCAATAAAGCTGCATTTATTCTTACAAAAATCACGGAGGATTTCCCTAATATGCACTGAATTGAACAAACATGTATTGGTATTTCGTTTTAGCTTGAAATCGAAGGCAAACCGGCAATCCTGTATTCCTTGTAATCATCAAGCTTTGGAATTAATTTATGTGTTTACAAAAGTAACCTAATGAGGAAAGTTTTATTGAAAAAATAAGTGTTCGAATATTCATGATGACTTAACTTCACCAAGTGGCGTGGGTTTTTAAGAAATGAATGTTCCTGCTTTAGATTGAATTGAAATATTCCTTGCTTTATGACTTTATAAGATCTCTTAAATCCAAACTAAAAATGCTATAATAAGGGATCTATGTGCATTCATAATTGAAGTAATTATGCAGTGACGCTTACAGCTTAGTGCTCTTTTACTCGGTAGTCAAAAACACTTTTATTTGCTGGATCGAAATAGATTTTTGATCAGAAGATTTAGCGCAGTCGAGTACAGAAATTGTAGATAATTTTTAATTTCTTTAATGATCAAGGAGATATAATGTGCCTACGCTCAAAAGGTAAAGGATTACATGAAGCGTCGTTCAGCCCATTCGGAAGAACACTGAGTTTAAGCGATGGTTTTAATTGAGCCGGCACCATACAGTGGACAGGTTTGACAACTCGATTCCTGTTCAACCCAAATCCATTACTTCATCAAAGAGGGATCATTAAACAGCGTCCTAGTCATTATAGTGTTCAAAGGCTTCGGTTTTTATAATTTAAATTAGGTGTCTCACATGAGTCATGTGCTATCTGGTATGATGTACTATTTACGACACACATTTCTGCCTTTCTTTAGCCTCTTCCAAGGTGACGCAACGACACGGCGCGATGGCACGACGACTCCTTTGCGTCATGCCGACACGTTGCACCGTCGCCTTCTTGCCATTACGTGTGTACACACACGACGAGTCGTGTTGTGCGTCGCGTCGGGCGTCGCGTCGGGCGTCGCGTCGGCCGTCGCCCGTCGCATAGTGCTGTCTTACTTCCTTTCCTTGTTGCATTTCTTCTGCCTGAACTATGGTGTTCTATAGCAGCCAAAATTGCTTCACATCGTCATGTCGCCCCGACACTACGATGCAACGCTACTACTGCTCCGTCTTGTCGTGGCGTCACCTCCTTTCTTATTACATTTATGCTGGGTTTAATGCGTTGCGTCGTGCCGTTGCACCGTCGTGTCGTGCTGTCTCGTCGCGTAGTTGCGTCGCCTAGGGAGAGGCGGAAATGTGTGTCGCGAACAGTACACCATAATCTGGAGACACAATGAGGTAGGAATACTTGGAAAAGCAGGCATTAAAGAGAAAGCACATTAGTTTAGGACAGTTAAGCACCTAACAACCACCAAATTCCGTTCAGGGGCAATACTAATTCCCTTGTTATTTGACCTAATTGTGCGTATTCTTCGAGGGACAAAAGCGGCATAGGCTAATCAACATGCAGCTTTCAGGGAAAAGCGCTCTTTGAAACTGCACTGGAAACACACATATATGTCCGTGGCTTACCCAGTTTAGGTCTGGAGTGGAGAAACGTTCATCCAGAGGTTTTGTGTTAACAAGGGGCTAACTATTCAGACCGGCCAACACAACAACACCATGGCCGACATGTTGAACAGCCTCGACACCGTCTCCGCACTTGCTGACCAAAGTAACTTCCACACGGACCGGGGACACAACTCTAGCAACTATACCACCAATGCTGATGGTACTCCATCCTGCCCAAGTCCTAGACAAGCAATTTCGACCACTTATCAACCGGTGATATCGACTGGAAATGTTTCCGTTTCGACTCCATTCGTGTCTGTGAGTTCCAAGGTGGATTACTTCAAAATGACCACTCCTCAGTGGATGTCTTGGCCGATGAGTCAGACGATGGATCCAGCTACTGTTCGACGCATCATGACACCCCTCCATATTAACACATCATTTGGTAACGACTATTTTTCTCAGTATCCGCATCAGGGATCAGTTGGCGCGGGTGACGGCCTCCTGAAGATCGCCACCAACGTATACTCGCACAAACAATCGGTTGAGGAGCCTGAACATCAAGTTCCCTCGGTGACTGAACAGCAGCCAACCAGCTGGCCCACTATGGCAGTCGTACCAATCATAAGTGGAAGAACGGTGGGAGTTAAAAGTTAGTACTGATTATGTACAGGCAATCAGATCCTTTTGACATCGAATAAGTGTACTTTTGCAACCGAAAACAATGTGAATGCTTCTACTTGAAAAATCTGAACCCTGACTAACTTCGGAGGTTTCTGATCGACAGGCACAGCTCTATGCCAAGTGCAAAAAAATGTAGCAAAATCAAGCCAACGGAGTATCTCTACGTACAATGGAAAGAGGTGCAATTATCATATTTTCATAGCCAACTTTGTAGTCAAACTTTTACACCAGGAAGTGGAGTCTTACGCATTTCTTTCTTCAGAGTGAGACAGGCACATCATGGAAATATAGGCCTCGCTGACATTGGCATTAAAGCTTGTTTAGCACAAAAGAAATGTTACTTGTAGACCGGTTTTCAATGTGCTTGTCTATTTTCTTGTATTATATTGTTTTGTGCTGTGTAGGCTAAATTACCTTTCCTAATGGCAGTCGCGATATAGGCCTATACACACCATTGACACCCCAGGTTCCGGACGAGATAAAATATGGGCCGAAACTTTGGAACTTTGAATATCAGAGTCCCAGAACATCAAAGATAGAGAAACCCATGGCACAAGAGACTGGTGCATGTTATAACTGGTCGACACGCTTTCTCATTAACTTCTGACGTATATTTATATATGCATTGATTACAATAACATTACAGCCGTGCCATCAGGTTATTAGATAGCGAATCTTTACAAATTTTGGACATAATTGTACCAATTTTGTGTGACAACTCTACTTAACTGAATCGAAGGAATGAATTTCACATGCCACTTATTTTTACCTGCAGTAAACTATTAGCTATCCGAAAGCAATAAAAATTTAGCTGTCAAATTATTGAGCCATTCATTTAGAAAACACTGTATTTTGGACCAGACTCATAGGAATTTTGCACATCGTGTTAAACGGCTTCTGTACATGGAATTCTTTCCGAATCGAGCCCATTTTTCAGTAACAACTAAAACACAAGCCCCCTTGCCTTTGCATTATTTTTGCCTGCTTTTCCCAAATTTTCAGGGCCAGCATCGGAGGAGCCCGTCTCCGAGGAGTTCTACTTGCCCAAGCTCAAGCGGAGGAAGGGGCGAACTACATTTACCAAGGAGCAAGTGGATACAATGGAGGCGCAATTTCAGACGAGTATGTACCTCACCACAGGGGCTCGTAGGGAACTGGCCAAAGAACTCATGCTTGAGGACAACCAGGTACAGTTTGAAGATGTTAGAGGGGCAGTTGAACAAAATGAGTAATAAAACAATGAAAAATTACATAAAACTCATTCTTTTGAATTTCTTATGTTGAGGTGAACACATGAAATGGGATTTTAATTATAAAACATAATTATTAACATTTTAACAACCAAAGTTACATGTATATGAATTCAAACAGCTTATTCCTCGTTTGTTTGCCAATTTGTGTATAATTATAGGTCAAAACTTGGTTCCAAAATCGGCGCATGCGTTGGAAGCGTCAACACCCCCAGGTGCATGTTAGATCGGGGAAACATCCAGCATCATGCCGTTCTCGGACCCAGGTAGTCAAACCCCTGCAAGGCCCTCCAAGTCAAACCAACCAGCTTATCGTTCCCACCCCACCGCTGGTTGGCAGCACGCCCTCAGCCGTCACAGGTAGCATAAAAACGTTTAGCTCCGATGACCGACCGCTGACATACCCTATGCTACCATCGTCTCTCTATGACCACGGCCTGATGGCACCCTCGGCAGCTCTTCAGGAAGAGTTTTGTCCAGCTCAGGCCCTTTACAGTGTCCCCATTTATCATCGCTGTCCAACTGGATTCGACTTTCATCCCTGGATTTCGGCTAACGCAGGTGGACCGCTTGCTGGCGCCCATTGTGCCACTCGCCACGTGTAGGTTAGATCCCTGGGCAAACCTAACAGACGGGCTGTTACATTCGACAGCCAATTAATACTAACACAACGGGGCAATAGTGGGAAGCGCAACAGTAGTCGATAAAATAATGAGTTGTACTCACCGACTTCGACGGTTTCCTCTGACATTTATTTCGAATGTTTGCCCACGTTATTGTCGGAGAAGACCAGCACCACTTGGTTACAAATACATGTACGTGAATGTATAGGCGAAACAGACTGAATATGCTATTTATTTTGCAGAAGATTTGGACATCTTGGACTTGTGACTGTTTGAAATTCAAGAGACACTTTTGATGCTCAGTTTACGATGAAATAGGGGGAAATTCCTTTATCTGGAATTTCAGGTTTCGATTTATGTGCACTTCGTGTACAAGACTCCTAGAGGGATAGAGGGGTATGGAAAAGTAGATTGGAAATTCAATACACATAGATACATGGGGTATGCCAAATCCATATGATGCAAGATATGTGGCAAAGGGGGACCCCCCCTTCAATTGTGGCTTCTTTTGTGTAGATGTAATCTTTGGAATTCCTTTCAGATTTCCGAGGGGGTGCAGTAGGTATAATAGCCATAGGGTATACAGCTTATGCATCACATTAGCCCCCCCCCCTTTCCTTCATATCGTGCCGGGTATCGCCCAATCCTGACTTCGTGTAAGTCTGGTTCCCTGACCAGAATAGTGCTTGCGACTCTTGATAAAATCTTGGGCCAGGTTTCGCCCACGGTCAAGTATGGTGCAGTCACAACACAAGGATCACCAGGGAAGCCCCTCTGGGTTGGAAGCTATGTTATTTCATTTATTTCATTTTCAGGACACACTTTACATAGTGCACAATTGAACGAAATACACATCAAAATCACTGTTGACACTTAAAGCAGGATTGTCCAAGAGAAACATTCTTAGATGCAGGTATTGTCGGCCGTGTCAGTTCGCTCGTCGCCTTGCAGCACCCCAAAAAAGGGGTGCTGGTGAGGGTTGATCGAAATCAAAATATTTTTCATGCTTATGCTATTTACTGATTGGGGGCGCAGCTTCCTGCCAAGCCCCCCCCCCTTGGAGACTGGCCCGCTGCCGTCTTGGTGGCGCACGACATCGTGAATAGACCGTATTCGCAGGGTAACCAGTTTCAGTCGTATTTCTGAACGTATTGTAGACAATTCAAACTCTTAATGGGATGGTACCAGGTGATGTGGGGGTCGGAATGAAATCTTAGAATAGAGCCTGAAAGTAAAAGGTCAGGCAGCGAGCTTCCGGAACCCTTGTGTGCGGTCCTCCTATTGGATTTTACATTGGGCCGTCCTATCACGTTCGATAATTTTTGGATAAATACCGAAACCACCCCATGAAACACTCATGTCGGAATTTTACCTTTGTCTGACTCAAGTAATATTTCGGAAAAGTCACTTAAAGACTGGTAAAAAACGAATTTAATAACGTCCTTTCACTCCGGCGATGTTGTACTTGGGTCACTTTGTTCGTTCACGTTTGTTTTCACTCGCCGTGCTTTCTTGAAAACGAGATCGTAGTTCGTACAACTTGGCAAAGATTTACCTACCTGCAGCCGATGGGTTCCAGATTCCGTTGAGTTGACATCACGCAGTTGTTGTCAGCAAAGGTTAGATAAAATGTTAGAATCTTTCGTAAAAGTAGAATATTGCTTTATGTTTATTACCTTATAAATTATCAAAATATCTGAAATATTTTGATCTGTTTTTATTTTGGGTTTTACCCCCACAGGCTATCATAAAATTTCAAACCGTAAATATCCATCTGCGTACCAGACTGCCGTATTGCACTGTTCTTCATGTGTTTTAGATTTTTGGAAGTGATGGGTCAATTTTTGGCAGGATATTTCTCTTTTAGGTCTGGGGATTTTTCATTTTCTATAGATTGATATACCAGCAAATATTTTTCAAAGCCCTTTTTCAAAATTGGAATTTTTAAAGAAGAAACTGAACAAAAAAATATTGCAAATTCTAACATCTTTGCACGCTATTTTTCCTATCCAAGGGTTCCGAAAGCGCGCCATCAGGCGTTAACTTTCAGGCTCTATAGAGCCTGGGTTTTAAAATTTAACATTTCGAAATGAATACACTTTGTCGGGGAATCTGACTAAAACAGGGTTCCCCACGAATAGGGTCTACTGCCCGTATTACCTCTATGGATAGATCGATCCAGTTAAGCCCCGCCGCACGGTGTTTTGGCTAATTAAAGCTCGGATTCATGTCCGCCATATAATACGTGCACAAAAATCTGACACGACAATTAAACGTGTACACGCATTAAACTAGTACCATGTCCAAACAGTAAGTGGGCCAGGTAGCTTTCATCGACGAAAATAAAGTACATACATGTACATGTATGTGTGACGTAATAAGGATTTCAATCTAGCTGCGTTTGCGTGTTACCTTCGACGGATACTCACTGATGCATGAAAATGGTGTGCATGCTCATTACACCCAGATCACCTTGCGCAAACGGTCAACGGTTCTACCGCTGTCATTTTGAAATAACCATCAGATGCTAAGCTAGTGTGATTTCGCTTTCGTACGGGTCATAGTCCAGATGTTCGCGAGCTCAGGAGTACACTCGGAGAACTGCGCATTACGTCAGGAAATCTATTTTAAAAGGCCATTTATGCACGCCAAATAGTCGTGGATACGATAGCGACATTATCCAAAAATAAATTAAAAGTAGAAACCATTTTGTTCGATATTTCGGGCGTTCGTTTATAGTGCACGTGTGTGTATAAGATTCCTTAGAACTAAAGTTATCGTCCACATACAAATTTACAATGAATTGCTTTGTAAATAAAGATTTTGTTGGTGATGGGAGTGGTTGAAATTGAATCCCAACTGATGGAATTGAGTAAGACAGGTCCGCTCATCACATTCCAATGGAGGGATCGGGAACCAACCCACAGCTTTACTCATTCGAACAACTTGGAATGGCCAACGAGAATGGAGATCACCATTGCGAGCGCTGTTGAACAATAGGTGTTACTCGGAGTGCTTGGCTGCTTACAGCTCAGGCTGCCACACCAAAATTTAATAAGCTGAGACCAACACATTCCAGACAAGTATCTAAAACAAGCAAAGATCAAGTTCCATGCAGGTCTGTCTTGAGTGCCAGCAGGACCATGTTATCTGCATCGGTGCAACACCTTGAAGAGAGTCCGCTCCGAACATTAGATACCTATAAACTTTTAGGTTGCCAATGACACTTCCAGGTATATTAATATATATTTTGACTAGTCAATAGCTGTCACATTGCTTTTAGCGTTCCTTAGAGATTTCTGTGTATTGCAATCACATTTCTTTATTCGTTAACGTACGGTAACAAGCTGCCTCGTGGATATCCGTGCCCCCACCCCACCCATTTGAACTCTTACAATGGTTACAACCTATGCATACGCTTCACTAGCTTTAAGCGCCCCTTTGGAAAAAAGTGTGTACCCCGGGTACTCCCCTCTTCTCCATTTATGCCAGTGTGCAGAAATCCAATCAGTGGGGGGGGGTTGCAATAGCTTTTTTAATCACAAAAGACTACATTACGTTGATGCGGATATTTCAAAAGATACCTTGCAAACTAGAATAGGAAAAAACCCACATGATTACGCTGCTTGACTTCTTTTGAATTATGCATCTCGCACACTCTCAGTCCAGCAAATTATGACTGTTGCCGTCATCGACCATGTATCAAGCGGGCGAATTCGGTATGAGACCGCCTAATCAGATCTCATTACCAAAATCTCAACGGTGCCATTACGGCCGTAATTTGTTCTGATTGGAGACCGCTTATAAGCCGTGACCAATAAATTAAGGGCTGATTACTCGCAGGACCAGCCATGCGGGTCCCTGATTAATGCTTTGCTTTTGTCCTGGCAATTTTCGCTCCATACAATTTTAATGCCGACGACGTCTTTAGTGTGTCGGGTTGCCGACTTTGGGATTTGCATATCAGTCTTTCCGATCCTTATTATATAGGGGTATACATCGACACACCGACAGTGATCGCTAACTTTTGCAGTTCTGGTTTTGTTAGTAAACGACTTTCATTCAATTTCATTGCATCGTGGTGATGCCTTTAGGTGTATGAAAGTAATAGGAAGAGTATTTGGACAAAACTCTAGTTCTAAAACTTGTCGAAGTTGAACTACAACCAATTTACCTTTTACATGTACATCTGAGCAAGACCCATCGAATTATCCAGTCGCGATGACCACAAAATGTCTCCTTCAACCCTCGACACGTGACGAGACATACCCAAAGGGATATACATGTATTGGGTTCTTTAACCTTGGCTTTAAAAGTTCAGTCAGTTTTGGTGGGGTTTTTTTCAATAAGCTTCGTAACCCCTAAAATTCGGGATGGTTTGCCTTCTTACCCGCCCTCCCATTATCATAATTGTGCATTATACACCAGTGTGACGTTCCTCTCCCATAACATTCTGTTATGACACTGCCCTTCGTCATTGTACTGTGGTTATGTACGTCCTATGAGTGTTGCATCCTCTTCAGCCGATAATGCAATAAGACGTGTATGTTCGAGATTCGGGTCAATTTATTAACCCTAAAAGAGACCGGCTTTTTGGACCATCTCGCATCAGTCGGGGAGCCACAACTCGGCTGTCCCATCCCCGATATTTGTGTTTTCAAATTTGGCTTGCTTGATAAGGCACTCGGTCGAGTACACATTAGGGGTACAAGTCTGATAGCCATGGGTAGTTCATCGCTTCACACATATCAGCCCGCATGCATTGAGCACGTCAATGGGATAAGTGTCAAATTTTGGCGAATCTGTCTTGGGAAAATGGGCGCTGCACGAGCACGGTATGTCTGATGTTCACAAAAATAGTGTCAAAATTACCATTAAATATTACCAAAAAAATGAAGGCTTAGCACGTGAACAATTTATGGCGATGATATTGTAAGAAAAAAAAGTCAAGACAGTGGATTAGGGTTAAATAGGTGAGTTGGTTGAATATGTTTTGGTTCGATCTGGCTTCCCTGTTTCCTTTATTCACACTCTGCAAAGGTGCCCATGCGAAAGAAAAGAACTAAGCCTGTGTCAACCAAAGCGGCACCATCGTATCCCCTGTCTAGCGAGGTCCCCTCTAAGAGAGAAGGGAAAAATCAGCTCTTCAATGTTTAGACACAGCGGGAGCCTAGTATCATTTCAGAGTGTTCTCTCCAGGCAGAGCGGGTTCGGTTTAGGGTCAGGAAACGCTAAGGCCGGGAAGTTTTCCAACCAGCTAAGCGGGGGACGAATGTAGCGGAGCGCGACCGCTCTGCTATGGGGTCTTCCAGGCAGTAGACGCCCAGGTTATTTTCATCAAGCCACGGCAATCGCAAACTTCAAAGACATTCCTGCTTCGGTGTGGAAACAATTTAATTTTTCGCTCAATTATCGAAGCGGGTTTCGAGTGTCTCCCGGGGCGAGAGTAATCATTTCCACTTTCCTAAATTGAACCCCCGATTTAGCCGCAAGAAGCAGAAAGAAAAAAAAACCTTGCTTCTTCCTCCGGATGAAATCACTGGAAAGCGGTCGGTTTGGGGCGCCGGGCCGTCAGTTGTCGGTTTAAAGCTTTGGACTTCCAGTTAACAGGGTTCAACTCTTTGCTTGTGTGTACGGCAAGCCACCTTGATCAAATGTTGCGCAAATTAAGAATCGTGTGCTACGACTGAAATCAAGGGAAAGGGAATAAAAATCTGTAATCATCGGACTTTGGAACCAATCGAAAAGTTTGACGGCTGGTCTGTTGTCTAGCTAGCAGCTAGCAATAGACATATTACTTTTCAATTACCGTGATAGGGCCAATGCGGAAGGAGATCGGGATGAGAATCGGTGCCTCAATACGTC